TTTATCTGATCGGTTGGCTCACTTCTTATCTCCACTTACCAAATCCCATTGAATTGCCCCTTCTGTTCATTTCAGGTTCACAGTCTCATTTCAGATCTTCTCACTTTTCCCATGCCTTCATTATTGTGGGCAAATGACTCAATATCTATTGCCTCAATTTCTTCTCCTGTGAAATTGGAATAATATTAGGTTATATGAAAAGTCATGATGCATTTTTCTATGTTTTCTATGTTTTTAAGGATTGAGGTAAGGATTAAATAAGTTAGAGTCTATAAAGTGCCTTGACCTTTTCCTGGATATTTGTAAATATACGATAAATCTTATTACAAAGCCATACAAAACCAGTAATCACATTATATTATAGCTCTGTGAGAATTAGTCTCACTACCCTACCTCCAAGGTAGAAAGAAGATCATGTCTCAGGCATCATTGCAGTTTCAGGGCAGAGCACTGCACCTTGCTGAAAGTGGGCAAGTTATGGGTAACTACTACGTGAATCAATCTTTGGCTTCTTTACTAGATAGATTTGGAGAGAGAGTACAGAATAAGAAATGCCATAATAATAGGTAAGACATAATGTGTTTAAATTCTGAAATGAGAAGAATTTTCTTTGAGATTCCTGCTTGCATTTAAATCTAAACGGATGCATAATTCTACATTCTTTGCAAAGTTAGAATTATTTTATGCTCTTTTAATTGGCTCCCTGTTTCAGTTTCTATGTCTTGTCAACTCTTTCTTTTTTTTTTTTCATTCTCACATCATTGCTTAGATCACCAAAAACCTAGACTTTTGTTATTGTATTTATTAGCAAGCTATTGCTACATATTAAGCACAAGACTTCTGTGGTACACAGCAAGAAACGATTGTTTTTTATGTGTCTATATATATTGGGTTGCCTAGGAGAGGCTTAGCTGAGCCTCTCTGCTTTAAACTGCCTGTCTGACTAGACGTGTCTCCTTGCTGAGGGTTGCCCTCAGGTTTATGCCACATGTATTTATTCTGGAGCCCAGATTAAAGGGCAGTTACTACCCAGGGAAGTTCTTTGCTTGGCAATAGCAGAAAAGCAAGCAGGCAAATTAGAAATCAGTAATGCCTCAGAAGGCCTCAGTTCTGAATTGACACATTATCATTTTTATTTCTTTGCATTGTCCAAAGTAAATCACATGGTCAAGTCTAGTATCAATGAAATGGGGGAAAGGAATGTTTCTCTGCTGAGATTTACCACACACAGCAAAAGAGGTGAACATGTAAATCTAATTCGGAGAAAAGGAGAATTATGAACAATAATTTAATTTACCACCTCTCTATTCTGATCTTCATGACCTTTCTTAGACAGTCACCTTTTAACTAAATTCCTTCTGTCTGTCTGTCTTCCCCATGATCCATGAACCCTATGTGATTATGTTCCTATGGCTTACTGTTGCTAGACTATCCAGTTTAAAAAATGACTTATATTATCTTGTGTAATAAAAAGTCTAGAGAAAGTGTTTTAGGATTGGCTTAGAAGTTCCATAATTGCATTGTGGTCTCAGGTTTTTGTAGCTTTTTTTTTTTTTAAATCATGTTAGCTTTTGTTTGCAAGTTTATTGCCTCATGGTGACAAGATAGCTGTAGCAACTCCAAGCATCATATCATTCATTACACAATGATGTCTTATACAGAATGGGAAAAAAAAATGTCTCTTTCTATAGCTTCCCAAGTGACTTCTCTTATTGGCCAAAACTATACAGTCACAAAGGTGCAAGGGCAGCAGAAGTCATAGAGAACATCTTCTGGTCCTATAATAAGAGCAGACTCTGAAAGCAAAAAAGGACTTGGGTACAAGCTACATACACAGCTTATTTATGAGAAATCAATAGTATTTCACACTCTCAAATAATTTAACTTTCCTGACTTAAAATTTAAGACCCTTCTGTGAGATAATAGAAAATACATACATACATACATATATATATATATGTGTATGTGTGTGTATGTGTGTGTGTGTATATATATATCCTGCCTTAAACTCCTGGAACAGCACTCCTAAAACCATTAGAAATTCCTAAACAGTAAGAGTACCAGAAGCATCTTTAGTTCTGTTCAGGGGACTCTGGGTGAGCTCCTGGATGACTTCACAATGGGAACTAGTAACCAGAAAAACCAAGTCATGACAAAAAGCTTAGTATTTTTCCCAACCCTCCTTCACACCCCTACCATCCTCCAGAGAGGAGAAAGGGCTAAGGATGAAGTTAACAGTTAAGTGAGGAAACCTTTATGAAATCCCAATAGCAAGGATTTCAGAGCACTTCCAGGTGGATGAACACATCCACACTGCAAAAGTAAGATTCCAGTTCCAAGGACAGAAGGGACATTTCTCTGTACCCTCCCAGGCCTTGTCCTGTTTCTCTTCATCCAGCTGTTCATTTGTATCATCATATTCTGTAATAACTTGTTAAATATGTTTTCTTAAGTCTTTTTAGTCCTTATAGAAAATGAATCAAAACCAAAAAGGGGATTATAGGTACCCCCAATTTGTAGCCAAGGGGAAAAATAATTGTAGGAAACCACTTCTTGTGACTGATATGTAAAATGGGGAGCAGTCTTTCAGGACTGAGTCCTTAATTCGTGTAAACTAACACCATCTCCACCAGTTAATTTGTAGCATCCTAGCTGGTGTGGCAGAAAATTTTTGTTGTAGGGGGAAAAACCCACACATGTAGAGACCAGAAATGAAGTGTTCACATGAATAGTAGACACAAGAAGAGAGCAAGAAGACGGGCTGTGGCTTTTACTTGTAAACCTCCATGACATGCTCTTCATCTCATTTTAGAGATTAATATTTTAAATTTTAATTTCTCTAAATAAGAAAGAGTCAGTGTTTCCCTAATAATACTTCATTCTTCCCAACACTAGTACATTTCTTTTTTAATCTTTTCTGCATCTGCCCAAAATGCCTTTTTTTCCCTCTCAGTCCACTGGAGAACAAGAAATGGAGAGAAATAATAAGTTGTGCCTGTACCCTATTTCTCCCCATATGGGCCACCAAATGTTGTGGGGAAGAATGTGGGTATAGCTAGAGACATGGTGGTGAAATAATTCACCAAAGACAGAGTGGAGAAGAGGCAGATTTACTGGAATACACTGCTAAGGGGAGCAGCGGGTGAGATAGGAGAGGTCTGCTTCACCAAATGGGTTAATTCACTGACCTGGGATCGAACTTATGCTGCACTGGCTGATGATAAAATTGATAGCTGAGACTTTAACCCCTGCACCACTAGGGAGGCCCTCCACTGGCATTTATGAAAATGTTTGTAGTCAATCATTCAATAAAAGTGTAGTGAACTCTTAGCTGTGCCAAACATTGTGTCGTTATTGGAGATCCAGTAAGGAATTAGAGTTCTTGTTCTTCTGATTTCTAAGCAAAGGAAGCAATGAAACAGTCCACGCATTAATCTACTATGTCAGGTGTATTTAATTGCTCTAAGAAAATAAGGCATAATAGTGACGTGGAGGTCTCCTCTAGGAGTGGTGTCATTTTTTTAGAAGATGTGTGGAAAAGGTTACATTAAGAAGGCAACATTTGACTGGAGACCTAGGGCAACAGATTTCCATATAGAGGACATAAGTACAAAGTACCTGGGGTAGAAGTGTGCTTGGCATGGACAAGAGATAGCAATATGGACTGAGCGATCATAGGCAGTTGCTAAGGGGAAAAACAGAAAGAGATAGAAAATGAAATTAATTACTTGGGGAAAGGTCAAGTTATATACTGCCTTGGAAGTCATGATAGGGGCTTAGATTTCACTCTGAATGATATGGAAAGCCCTTGAGCCCATTAAACATATGCTTCTCTCAAGAATAAACATCTATGCTGTTTTTTAAAGTTCTGGAAATGTGTGGTTGAAATGGTTGCATAGCAGTGTGCCTCTGCTTAATCCACTGAACTGTGCATATAAAAATGGTCAAAATGGTATATTTTATATAATGTATATTTTACTACAGTAAAACAAAATCTGTGGGTTAATCTTATAGACCAGAATCTATGCTAAGCATTGATGCCTATAAGAACAAGTAGATGATGTAGAGATTCAGAATCTACTTGGAGAGAATGCAGTCCATATACTATAAATGTAAATACACAATGTGAGGTAGCATAAAACAGGTTCCAAATGCAAGGACTAGGCGAGGGCTTCAAAGAGTATATTTTTGGAAACATTAGTTTGGAGACATGCTCTGTGAGATAATATTGCTCAAATAAGTTTGGGAAATGCTGCATCTTCCAATCCTCGGGAAGATTCCCAGTGCACTTTGGTACACCACTCTTTCTAATATTAAATACAAAGAAACCTGTTCAATTTTCTGAACTCAATATTGCTAAACCATTTCAACCACGGGCCCTTTTTTCCCAAATCAACTGTTAACATATTGAGAAATTCGGTGCTACAAGATAATCAAAGCAGAGACAGAAGCCAAGAGTTAGTGGAGAAAGTGCTGAGCCCTTCAGGAAAGGGGATACTTAGATCAGAATGTTGAAAGCAAGAGAAGTGTTAAAAATTCAGTTTAAAGAAAGACTTCTGGAACTTGCTCTTCAAATATCATGATCCACAGAAGGAATCTGCTAAATATACTGATAAAATCATAATTTTGAGGGGCATTGGTTAATTTCTTCTAAAATACTGAAGATTCACTAAGATTAGCTATTTTATGAAAGTTTTCTTAATTTCTTGTCATTATTTTATAGACAACAAAGGTAAGGCCCAGAGAGACTATAACTTACTCAGTCATGCCTGCCTGATCGATGGCTAAGTGTTAGTTTTCTTTTTCTGAGACCAGACTCTTGTTCCACAAAGGAGCTATGGTCTTTCTATGTCTGCAGTAGACACTTTGGAATTAAAGCAAAAAAATTGATTCCTATGCAAAATACAGATTTCATGATGCAGTGGATATGGAAACAGAATCAAATTAAAGAACAACGCAAGCTTAGATTTTAATGAAGCTCATCTTTGTTTCTTTTGCAGATCAAATTTTTGGCTCTCATCTACACACAGTGTGTGAACGTGAAAATTCCACAGTTCCGCGGTTTGTAAAGCAGTGCATTGAAGCTGTCGAAAAAAGAGGTGGGTAACTGAATATGCAGCTATTTATCCCATTAGTGAACCCCACAAACAACCAGTGCTCAACTTAATAGTGCCACTTGATTTGTCTGGGAAGCCACACACTTAAAACTTGACTTTTGTTAATCAGTTAAGAGGATGAAGTTTCTTATTAACTTCAGTTTGTTTTTACAATAGGGATATCCATAATTCCCACTAATGTTTTTCTTTTTTTTTTTAATATTTTGTGTCTCTGACATGTTGTTGATTCAATTGCAAACTTCTTGTTTTCAAGCCAGTGATAAAACATTCATAAAATATCAGCACTCACAGTGTTAGAACCTTCCTAACATTCATGCTGGTAGATGTTGTGCCAGAACAATTTTTGGTAAGGTCCCAGCATTACCCAAGTGCAGCAAATAGCATTTCTACTTCCAAATAGTAATATTCCATCTTCCACGTGTTTATGTTCGATGCAGAATACAGCAAACTGGTTTTCCTGGGACAGTTGACAGACACACCTCCAGTGTTAAGATGACCTTTGATTCCCATATTTCAACATTCTGTTTTTCATCTAAAATTATTTCATCTTACTGAAGGGAACAAAACAAAACCCAATTGACTCATCATTTCTATGCTAGACTATCCGTGGGATGTTTTTCCTTCAGTCTATGACGGCATTCATTCAAGGTCATTTTCCCTGGAAGATACATAGAGTAGATACAGAATCTCAAAAAAAAAAAAAAGAAAGAAAATGTATTATATAAAAATGTGAAGCTTCATCACCATCTGTTACAAGTTTATAACGTATCCCCAGGATCTAGGGGGATATATATCATGTAAAATATTAGAGGTGTTTTCAGAAAGAGAATTGGTGAATCTATTCCCATTTCAGTTCCAGTCTCTTAAAACAATAGAACCAAGGGGAAAAAAGCTCTACCAAGTTATCTGCTAGGAAAAAGTCATTTTAATTCTCTCAATGTTACCTGGCTTTATTATCAAAGCATAATAAAAATGGTCTGCAATTTCCCACTCCTGGAAATTCATACTTTAATTATACTGTAAGGACAGCCCGGGGAACCTATTATTCCCATATCAGTAGGGAATGAGAGAATAACAAGAAGGAGAAGAGTGGGTAGAATAAGTGGATTAAGAGAGTGACTTTGGGGGAAAGCATATCATAGAGAAGATCTGGGAATTCAGAGAGGGAGAGAGAGAGAGAGGAAAAAGGTAAAATCAGAATGAACACAAGGAGAGGTATCTGTGAGGAATGGAGTCAATTGGAATTTAGAGAGAAATGTGTTTTTATTGCATGTTGCAATCTCATTTAATTTTATATGTACATATTTTAGAAATAAATATTATTTAATAAGTATTTAAAGCCAAAATGGATCACAAAGAATGTTTTAATGTTATCATTTCCAATAGCTAAATTATCATCATTTTCAGGTAATCTTCATTCTCTTATAAATACTCTGTACTAATGGTATAAACACTGTTATATTAGAGCAAAAATCCAAATAGGACTTTGGGGGAAGCTGTACATAATAAGATGTGTGCACATATTAAAAAAAATGTTCTATACCTTCTTTATTTATGTACATACCTCATGCAGAATGAAAACTGCTAGATACAGCCTTGTGGTTTGCAGATATTGTAGAGCAGAAAATATCTATAAATACAAACTGTATCTTTTGTTCATAGCATTTTCTTGGTTATTTTTAATAAAATAAGATAATGTTTTTGCTGACAAGAGCAATCATATCTGGCATTATATTTCATTGTCCCAGTGTTTACTCTTAAAATGAATTTATAGATCCATCACTAAACAGTCACTAATCACACATATGATTATTAAAATATTTCCTAAGCATTTTAATAAAACTCAAAGACTTTACAATTCAACATAGCAACTGATAATTCGAAGCACTTTGGCATTGTCAGCTTAAAGGAACTCTATGGAAATGTTCAATAAAAACTCTGAGGCACAAGATAAACCTCTCACATCATTGCAAGATTTACAAGTGTGTACTTTTGATTATATTTTTCTATGATCATTTTGTTGGATTAATATTCTTACATTTATACGCCAATTCTATTTACTCAAAATGTTGTTTTTACTAAATTCTGGCATAAAGCACCTTAGGACAGAAATAATTTATGTGAATCTAAGTCCAATGTTTATGCAGGCTTCTGATGACATTTTATGCTGGGGATGGTATTAGGAAGTAGCATATAAAGGTGCCAAGTCTCTCAGCACTGCTGGGACTCAGCATAGCTAGACCCTCCTTCTAATGGCCAGATCCTCTTCTAGCCAAGATACTCAACAGCAGAGTCATGGGAAATGCTTATGGACCAGTTATGGGAAAGGCACATTTAATGAAAACTATGTGTTTACTCTCAGAGTCTTAGGGAAATGGCCTCAATACTTGCTACAGCAGCATATTGGCTGTTATAAAAAAAATATGTGTTTCTTTCTCTCAGTTTTTCCTGAGATTCTTTTCCATGTCTTAAATAAAAATCATCTACAGACCATAGTTTTATTTTTAAAAATTCTTCTTACATGCTTGATTTAAAATGAAGCTGTATCAGGAAGGCAGATCGCTTCATCTATTCATTCATTCAACCATTCATTCATTCATTCAGTTACTTTTCTCACTTGCTTACTCATGGCAGAACCAAATCATTCATGCTCCTGTAATCTCCCCAGGGAATTTCTACCCAGTGCTTGGCACAATATCCATTCTTTTTTCATCACTAGTAAAATGGTATTAGTTACATTTTAAATTTTGAATCTTGGATATGCCTAAAAGAAAATCTATTAGTGAGCCAAATGTAAACCAATTTAGCGAATAACTTGTTTAGTATGTTTTCTTATCTTGATTTGGTTTTCTTTATTCTTCTAAACCACCAGTGCTTTATCTTCCTCACCAACTATTATAACTAAATTAAGGTAATTTCTGTGGTTTCTGACATTGTCTGCTTAGCCTAGGAAATGTACCCAAAACTGGGAGGGCAAATTGCAGAGGAACATGTTAAATCTCTTCCAAGTGGGACATTCTCTCTTGCCTTGCCTTGAGAGTTACAGACCATGTATATGAGATTTGGCAAGTATTCATTTACAAAGTCAATTAATGTTTCTTTTTCCAAAGTCATTTCTGAAACAATATTGAATCAATGTTCAGCTAATGCTCAATACATTTCCATAGTAAAATGATGAAAAAAAATAAATCATATGACTTTTTTTAAGTATGGAAGAGCAAGCTTGCAGAAATAGGCCTTGTGATATATGGTGGAATATAATTCTAAACACTGAGAAGTCCATTATTCACTGCACCATAGAATGTTTTGTGTAGTTTACAAAAAGCTCAAAAGTGATAGAAATGGCTTACTATATCTCTTAGAGATGAAAGTCTAGGAAATGTGACCTAAACAAAGTGTATCATCTAACTGGTATAATTAGCATTATGTTCCTAATCCATTGACCTTTTTAAAGACTGACTACTCTTTGTAAAGATTCATTATTTGGAAAGAGTTATCTATACATGTTGTATTGATTGAATGAATAGACACTGAGTGTTGGCTGCATTCAGGCAACATGAAGCTATTCAGTACCTACTATGTGTCATTCTCCATGTTACCAGCTGAGAATACAGAGGAAATACACATGAAATAGAAAACACACATGTGTTTTGAGTAAATTAGCACAAACCGTGAAAAGTGCTATTGAAAGTAAAAAACCGGATACTAGAAGAGAGAATAAGCACTACAGTAGTTTTTTACAAATAAAGGAAAGTAAATCTGCTTTAAAGTGACATCATAGGGGTTGGTGGTAATGGGGAAATGTTAGTCAAAGAGCATGTAGGAGTAGTTTTTGTAGGATCCATAAGTCTAAACATCTAATGTACAACATGATAACTATAGTCAATAATACTCCATTGAATACTAGAAATATGGTGAAAGAGCAGATTTCAGATGCTGTCATCACACACAAAATATTAGCAGTACTCATTTCATTATATATGGTATATTAAATAACTTTGTACATCTTAAATATATATAATTCACCTGTAGTGTGTGTTTTTATACCCCATATACGGCAGTGTAAGTCAATATTGCCTCCATAAAAAGAAAGAAAATATATGCATATTTATTTTAAATAATATAACTAAAACATACTTATCTGGTTGTTGCCACCTTCTTAAGACCAGGAGAACTTTAACTTAGCCTTATTTTCCAAGTTATTTTCTTGACAGATTGTAATAGCACAATATAAAGAGTCCCTTGGTGTGAGACACCCAAAAAGATATGCCTTAAATGGTAAACCTGTCCTTTTCTACCCAGCAGTAGCAACCTTTGCAAAGATTTCTTTCATACTGTAATGGAGTCAAATAAATGAATAAGCATTTTTCTACCCTAAATGTATTTTATGCATCCAGTATATTTTTGCTTGCAAGAGAATAGGTCTTAAAAAAAAAAAAAAAAGAAAAAGAAAAAGAAAAACCTTTAATTTCATTTGGATTGGCTTCAGCCTTTGGAATGTGGTTTAACAACTCATTTTTCCTCCATTATTCCCAGGTCTGGTTAATATGCCCCTCAACTATTTAACAACATTAAAATGATACCTAGGGATTTGTTGCACAACAATGTGAATGTACTTAACACTTCTGAACAGTACACTTAGAGATAGTTAACATGGTAAATTTTATATTGTGAGTTTTTAACCATAATGAAAACTAAATGATACCATGTCTTTCAAATTCTGATTCCAGCTATAAGCTACTTTGCAGAATGCCTCACCAGATGTTGATCAACACTTTGTCCTCTCTTTCTTTTTTTTTTCTGAAACACAAAATAGTATGACAAGAATGATACACAAAGTTACATATTTGAGTTAGAGCCTAAAAGCCACCCTGGGATCCATAACCTTGCTTAAAGATTTAAGAAAGGCCTTTAGTCTACTTCTGAAAAGGTCCTTAGCCTCAAAAACTTTATCTCTCAACTTGACTTCTTAGCAGCTGTTA